GGGGGGCACAGTGAACCACCCTAGCCCATGGACTATATTCTCCCATTTTCATTTTTGACACAGTATTGGCACCTACTCCAAAATTTTGTTTGCTGTCCCCTAAGTTTGATGCGGTTACTTCTTGTAACAGTCAAGAGTTGGGGCACACATAATTAAAGAAATGAATGAGTTGGTGGAAAGGCATTGCACAAAATCCAACAAACTGCCAGGCAATCATCTCTGATAAATCACACTGTCAAATGTTCAGTTATTTACATCTTGGGCTGAAATGTGGAGCACCTGCAGACAGAACAGAAAGCAAGTCAAGGTTTTCTTCTAAATAAACATCAGAGAACATCCGGCTGACTTCACAGCAGATGTGATTAAGGGTTCGAACACAAACCCTAACAATGTTAGCATGCGACAGACGAAGATCTTATAGGGAAACTTATGAGGCCCAATATCATTAGAGTGTAAATGAGTCGCAGTGAAAGAACGCTKTATCAGTTTATCTGCTGCCGCTTAATGACGCATGAAATCAAAAAATATCTGCTGCAACAAGGCAGCACTCATTTGCTGAGGGTTTGTGTGTGCGTGCGTGCATCTGTTTGGAAGATGGTTCACATGGCAACAAACAATCCATCCTGGTATCAAACTGTGGAGGAGGGCAATATGAGGGGGTCTGTGAGAAAAGTGTGCCACTGCCTGTATCTATATGTGTGTGAGATTTCTTTGTGATATTTTTATCTGTGTGTGACAACAGGATGTACAGACGAACTTCCAACATGGCTGGTCTGACCTACCCTCCCACAGCTCTGACAGCCCTGAAGGTAAAATACACCCTCCACCCAACAAGACGGGACATTTTAGCATTCTGACCACATAATTTGATACTAGACAAAAAAAATTAATGATTGTGACTGGTTAGACATCACTTTTGTTTAATGTAGAAACTTGTTAGAAAAAGAGGCAAACAAAAGGCAGTACAAGAGAATGGTCAAAGTTAAGTAACTGATAGGGGAAAAAGGAACAAGGAAGAAAATCAAAAACAAAATAAACACATAACATTATTTGAAAGCATCACATCACCTTGCAGGACATGCCCTAACTAATTTGGCTCCCTAGGCAAGATTTCAGGTGGCATCCCATCTGGAGTTTTCTAAATCTCACTGCAAATTTGTAATAGAAAGGAATGAAATGGAAAATTAAACTGCCTTTATTGTCCCACAGAGGGGAAATTCAGGTGGAACAGCAGCATTCACACAAAAAGTTCATGAAGTGTCATCAACAATACAGTATATAAAGAATTAAGGTTAACAATAACAATAGTAAAAATAAAATAAAATAAAATAAAATAAAACATTGTACAAGACAATAAAAGAAAATACTGTGCATTATTGAAAACAGGCATATTGGATTTACAATCTAAGGGTGTGTGTAACAGTCAAACTGGGTCAGTTTTCAACAATGAACATAACAATGTACATGCATTCACTTACAAAATAAACAGTGTTGTCTTCATTATTATTTTTTATCTTTAGAAACCTGGTTGTCCAACTAAAATTGAAAATATAATTTATTTGAAACATATTGGAGAGGTCTATCTCATACTGTACCTACCAATATCTGCTGACAGCAATGAGGAACACCTGTTCATGTTAACTAGCAGCTGTGGATTGAATCAGTTCTAGGGGGATCCATGAGTAATAATCCCAGGACATTTTGTTACAAATGATCAACACATGACTATACATTTTCCATCAATTTTAAGAAAATTTTATTAAATTCTTGGGATTAATATAAACAACATGTAATGGAAAATATTCCACTCAGGCAGAAACACATGAATAAAACAAGGTGAACTTGCATGGTTTGTTCTCAAATGATTTAATAGTTGCATATGCAAGAAAGGTTTGGGCAGCGACGCAGAGGCCCGAATCAGAGGTGCCTCCACAGAGCTACTCTTAGCAACAGACAGGAAATGCATTTATAACTTCCGGCCGGAGTCCGTGAACAAATAAGAGTGTGCCAAATCCTACAGAGATATTCAGAGACCAATGAAGTAATTACAAGTTACTCAGGCAATATAAAATGAGAACAAGGTTGTAGACGTCAGGGGATCATGAGAACAGATTATAAAATGTGGCATTAATCATTGAGAGATACAGAACAGAACATGTCAAGGTAACTTAGCAGTTAGGGACATTATATGATATCCTTCCACCACACAACATAAAATCAGTAACCAACTCCTCAGCAGCCAACTCCTCAAACTGTGCCTGGAGTCAACCTACTTCACATACGGGGGGCAGTATTATAGGCAGAAACATGGGTGTGCCATGGGATCCCCAGTTTCTCCTATTGTTGCAAACCTGTACATGGAGGAAGTGGAAAAGAGAGCCTTGATGTCCTTTTCAGGGGTGCCACCGAGCCATTGGTTCAGATATGTTGACGACACCTGGGTTAAAATTAGGGGTGTCTCGATACCAATTTTTTCAAGACTGAGTACAAGTACGAGTACTTCAGTTTAGGTACTCACCGTTACCGATACCAAGT